GGCTCCGCCGGCTCGGCCGGCTCGGACGGCTCGGCTGGCTTCTCAGCCTCCGGCTTCTCCTGCCCAGCAAACGGCACGCGAAAGGCTACAAGCAGCACTTTCCACTGGCCTCCTCCATCTTCTCGTCTTTCGAAGTGTCAGCCTCTTGGGCCGCTTCCTCTTTCGGCTCTTCCGCCATGACCTTGCCAAGGAATGCCTCCATCTTGCATGTCTTGCTTGTACAACTCTGACTACTCCGCTGCAGCAGCTTGGAAGGCTTGGACACCTGCCATTTTAGGCTTCCGAACAGGGAGACACTACGACCAAAATGGCTGCAGCAGACGCTGGAATCAGGCAGTCAGTCAGCAGCGTCTGTCACCAAGTGCCCAGAAAGCTGCAAGCAGACAAACGAAAAAGGCAAGTATGACGTTTTTGATCACAGCTCGTGAGGCTGCCGAATCAAGCTTTCCTTTGACCTTCGTGCATAGGCTTCAGAAACACGGGTGGCCTAGAAGGACGAAGTCCACTTCAAGAGCCAGACCCTCGCCCTCAGGCCATCATCGTCGCCCATAGCCTTAGAATTCAGCACTTCCAGCATCAGCGTCAAACGAGAATTATCACGGTCTTGAGCAAGTCGCTGTAGGATCCAGAGCCGTATGACGTCCGTGGCTGCTTAGCCTGTGCAGCTGCAGAAAGCTTGCTTCTGGACTTTTGGATGCTCAGCACGAGTTCAATTAGGATCTTGCTGCGGGCCCAGAAGATTGCTGGTACGGGCGCTTCGCATAATTTGAACCTGTAGTCGGCTAACGTGCAAGGTCAACTCAGGTTGACTTGAGCATGAAGAGGAAACAACTGAGGCGGCTTGCTTTCGTACGAGGTTTGGGAAGCGCCCTTGCCTCCGAAGAAACAAGAAGAATCTTTCTGACCATTCGCTTCATTGCCAGAGCCCGCGCCGATAAACAATTGCTGGCTGTGTCAGGGCCTTTGCCACCATTAGCTGAACCTTTGCCGCCGCTGACCGAGCCCTTGCCCTTGTCCTATGCAGGCTCAGAGATCACAGAGCTT